TATTGAGTATAGACGCTGTCTCTACCTAAATGAATTTCCCTTGTTAGATAAGACGGAAGAGGTGCATTAAACAATAGACATCGGTTAGTTGATTGAATGCTTCACTGATGCCAAAAGCAAACAGTGCTGATATTTTTGTCAGCATATATATATATATATATATATATATATATTCATTTCAGCATTATTTAACCCATCAAGAAGTTAGGCATATATGTTAGCCTTTTTCTAACTTTAAATTAAGGGTTTCAGGTATTCAGTGTAGAATGTAAACTCTTCTCTAAGTCATATAAATTGGGTTTAGATTTATTACCTGTTTTAATTTCAATGTGTCATATTAAGCGGGCTTTGAGTAAATGGAAACTAGTGGGTTTTTCAGTTGTACAGTAACACAAATGAATTGGACTGAAATATGATCAATAGAAACTATTTTATTCAGAAAATATCCACTAATGATATTATGATCATATCTATGTAAAATATCAAAAAATAACTAATTTCAGGAGCGTAGACAAAGATCTGATAAATGTGTTTGTTAAATTAATTGGACTATGGCACGAAACTAGTACTTTTGATAAAAATGATAATTTATCATTGAAAAATTTTCTCTAAACAACTTTTTAAATAGTCATCTGGTAAGTTCTAATTTGCCGGTGTAATGTTACAGTCTCTTAGTCTAATTTGGTGGAACTTATGAAAAAGAATTGAAGTTCAGTTCAAGCTATCGCATGGAATCTTCTAGTGGTTTAAACAGTTAGTCACCACTAAGTGCTGAATTCAGATGCGTTACTGTTCACTAATCTAAATTGTAACTGAAATCTTGTGGAATTGCATCGACCATGCAGTCTGATCACACTTTAACAACCAACTTAGTATAGTATAGGTTTCAGTACTAGTGTGGTTTCAAAATATCATCAGTGAAGTAAATGTTGCAGTGAAGTGGGCGCTGCTAATCAGAATGGATATAAGTTGTATATCCTGAGAGAGCAGCAGAAATCATTGGCAACTACCAGCAATGGCTAAGGATTCTGCCCACAGAAACGCAACAAACAATGCGGACGTATAAAGAGCAAATGAAGATGGAATCAGAAGAGGAAATGGAGCTTAATATGCAAATGAATGACTTAGTGCAAGGTGTCCCATATTTGATGACTAGTGTACAAGATGTCAATTAAAGGGATTCCTTCCTTCGTTTCTATTTATTCGTTCCCTTCAATTAGCGTCGCTGCCTCTGGACGTGATGAAGATTCCGTGGGCTGCAGTGTTAGAGGATGGAAATATCAAGATCTTCCTTTTAGTCGATTGCGGAGCTGGAGGGTGTTTGGGACCCAGGATCGAAGGTCGTAGTGCTTGGGACGTTGCCGAGGGGTGGAACGAAAGTGGCGTATGCTGGATGGGATGGAGACTTGGCAGAGAATCACTGAACGCCTGGAAGTGGAGTTTAAAAGCCCAGCCAATAGGGAGCTGGCAATGAAGCAGTTCTGGAGCACAAAAATTGGAATAGACGAAGATCCTCTAGCATTTGCTGTGAAGCTGACTTAACTACTTCGACGAGCACTTACCACTTTATATGACAACCCTTAGGAGCATTTGCTGGCTGCACAGTTCAGCGAGAGTGTTCCAAATGCCATCTCACAGCAGCTACGACTAGTGAACACAGCTCAACCCATGGATATTAGTCAGCTGGCCATGGTCACCAGACAGCTATTAGGTACAGCAGTAGCTGCGGTAGAGTCACCGGAGGCAAGTAACTGAAAAAAACAAATCGTCAACCTTCAGGAGGAGGTGACTGCGCTTCAAATGGATTTCAAAAATAGAGTGAATGCTTTGCATGCAGAAAACTGGCACACTGGTGAAGAAACTGTCCGGAGTGGCCAAAAAGAAAACGTTTTAGACGATATAATATGAGTTCTGTTTCTCCAACTAGACTAGATATTGTAGGAGCCATAGGTAGAGGTGCTGTGAATTATAGAATGCGAATAGAGGATCAGGAAATCGTGTGTCTAGCAGATACAGAGGTGGAAGTTTCGTTGAAAGATAAGAGTCAATCTCAGAACATAAGACCACGTGCGCTAACGGTCCACATGGTTGGGGGACACGCATTAGAAATCGCAGGCTTATCAGATTATGTCGCCGGGAACGGATATGGGAAAATTAGATTTCGATCCATTGTCACCAAGCGTCTACGACGGATAATCCTGGCAGCGACGCCAATCGAGGGAAACAAGTAGATAGAAACGAAGGAAGGAACCCCTTTAATTGACATCTTGTACACTAGTCATCAAATATGGGACACCTTGCACTAAGTCATTCATTTGCATATTAAGCTCCATTTCCTCTTCTGATTCCATCTTCATTTGCTCTTTATACGTCCGCATTGTTTGTTGCGTTTCTGTGGGCAGAATCCTTAGCCATTGCTGGTAGTTGCCAATGATTTCTGCTGCTCTCTCAGGATATACAACTTATATCCATTCTGATTAGCAGCGCCCACTACATCAGTACTTCACCACTGCAGATAACAAGTAGTCGTTTCTGGCCACCGCTTTAAGTTGAATACAGTGATAGTGATCCATACCGTCATATCATGTAGATATTAGCAGCTAAATGTGTCGATCATCACCGGTTATCAGTCACCAAGAATTAAAAACCTGACTTACACAGAAAAATCTCATATCTTTTCCAAGTTACCTACACTTTTAACATAGTTTCTAATTTGGTCAAATAAATCTTATAATTGTCACAGATTAGTTATTGAAAGATAATTAAATTGTGGCTAAAAACGATACTGAAGTTAGTTCGATAGGTGGTCAGTCTTGCTATAACTAGTCTGTTGATCCTATTTATTCATGGAGATTAGATTAGCAGGTTGACTACATTTAAAATAGGCTTAGGAAATACACTATGATGGACAGATAATCCTTTGACTTTCAACTTTCATTTTAATCGTACTTCATCTTCATTATATTAATTAGTATGTGATTAGGCGAATTGCACTACATTTAAAAAGCGTATGCAAATTTTCTGTGAACGCAACAAAGCCATATATAACTGTTCAAAATTACTTGAAATTAAATTTTCTTTTGCTAAATATTACTGCCCAGTCTTATCTGAGGGTATTCATTCAAAAAATATACTAGCCTTCGTATAGATTAGCTTAAATGCACTTGTTTAGTCTACTGACTTTATCAGTTGTTTATATACATCCTGCATATATGTGTATCTTATTGTCAGGATTGGGCTTAGTGAATTTGTTAACCTTAGATATTTCACTGTATCAATAATCACTCTGACACTTATATTCTTTTCCTAATACATAATCAAGTGTCTCTCTTTGTTCAGTTAAGAATATTTTACTAGTCGCCATATATATATACTTTGCGGTTGCTGTTATTAAAAACATCATTATTTAATCTTGACAAAAGTAATGCAACTAACAGTTGAAAATAGCAAGTACCATTTTAATTATTTTCTAACATAACTTTTGATGTTGTTCTGGTTAGAGTTTTGATAACATCTTACGACGAAAATATATTGCACCGAAGGGTTGTGTCAGTTCGCCTACTGGCTAAATTGTAAGTCTTCTCGACAGACTCAATTCAGTCTCGAGTACTTAGGACTAGATAGGCATATGAGCTACATACATGACCAATTCATGTTGAGTTTTAGTTAGCTTACATGAACGAACATTAGAGTTGCTGTATAAAGTGAGATTTATTTAATATTGATTCGTTAGAACCAGAGTTCAAGAAACAGCAGCAAAAGATGTCATCTCGAAGGTGTTCGTGAATAAAATGCGTCAGTAAACTACAGAGAACTGGTATACTTCTGGAGAATACAGTTTGCAGTAATCAGTACCAAAACTGCATATTCGCTTTGAAAGTGGATGATAAGTATGAAAATTTCAATCACTAATCTTGTAGTCAGCTCATAAGCCAAAAGAATTTTTAGCTTTCAGTTTTATGTGTAACCGTACGATCGTTTACTTTGCTGTTTAGCGAATGACCAGGTTGTCCTGGACATGTATTACGCATGCTTAGTTACACTCTTTGTTGACAAGAGATATTAGTTGCATCAGTTTTAGACTAACCAAAGGTTAAGGGTAGCCATTCTAATATGTGGCATTATTCTCAGAAGTCTTTGGCTGTTAGTTTTGACTATGTGGAACATGCAAATTTCCTGATCAAGGTTTCCGCAGTGATTGAAATCACTGATTGAAGACTTCATGTGATATGGCTCAGAAGTAACATTAGTGGCTTTGGCTCGTCCACAACTTACCTTCATCACCATCTTTGTATCGCATCTCATTATCGCTTTATTGTCTATCCTTCCCTTTGTTTGACGTTCCACAACTTTTGACAATATTCTTTTCCGGCATTTCTTCATCTCTCACCTTGTTGCCTTGTATCTAGTTGTGATGACTTGAGATGTGGCACATTAAGGGAGTATTGAATGGTTCCAAGGTGATACTTACTGACTAATTAAAACTACGGTTTACTTAAATTTATGACATGTTGTAATCCTTACCAGTTAATGGAGGCTAGAAGTGAAGGTAACCGCTGACATAAATTATTGTTCACCCTTCTCAATAAAGCAATCACAATGTCACGCAGAATATAGAACGCAAAAAACTAGTTGTCATACAAAAAGCACAAAACTGTTTAAATAACCTGAATCGTCTTTAAAACACTGACTACACCAGGATTTAACACCAGTAGGCTACCTGGTGTTCTGTACTTTAAAAAAATATTGACTAGCGGAGAGTTACATTTGATAATATTTCAAGTTCAGCATTTTGTTGTTTGTTACCCATAAATTCATACATTCTGCTAGAAAAAATATGTAATCTAAGTGTCAGTATGCAGTGTAATATGTATTACCATGAATTTTCTTCATCTATTTAGGAAGATAATTTGACTTTTTATTAAAAAAATGCCTCACCTGTGCTAAAATACTAATATTTCTATTGGAATTTTTATTGTTGTGAAAACTGTTTCATTTAGATGCGAAATTCCGTCGAATACCTATGTTGAATTTATTCAAGTTATATGGCCAGCTGGAGTTGGAACTTTATCATCTTCATCAGTGTCTCTGTCGTCTTCATCATCATCCTTATCTTCCACATCTGTTGATGATCCTAATTCTTACATAGATGTGGAGGAGTTTCTTAATACTCAGACAGGATCGTCGACATCACCATCATCATCATCACCACTTAGAAATGAAATGAAATCACGTAATATGTGGGATGTGTTTCATAGAAGTGTTGTCGGTCCAAAACGTAATGTAACTGAAATTGTAGCTCGTTTTAGAGAAGATTTAGCTGAAACAAATCCATCTTCAAAATACAGGTAAGTTTTAGTAAGTCATAATTTCATATTAAAATATGTTTGAATGTATATGTGTTTCCGAGACAATTTATATGACCAAATAACGAAATATGCGAAATGTCTGCAATCAAGGGGATATGATGGATTACTCATCATGTTATGTGATAACTCATAATACTTTGTACTCTTGACCGTATATTAGACAAACTAAGAAAAATCATATACTGCTGTAATTACGTTCATTATCAGATTGCCTACCAGAAGACAGTATATAATGTTATCAATACCAATCGTTTTGTGATAAACATTGACTGAATAAATAGTTTTCCATTACTTGTTGGTCATCATTTATATACAGTAAGTTAATTAGATTTCCACTGACTGTAGAAACGCTTACAATAACAAAAGTTCTGAAAAGATGGACTGATATTTATGTTATTTTCAGATACTCGAAAAGGTCAACAATAATAAATTCCGACAGAATGATACTAATCAATTCAGACCGTGATACTTTGTAAACTAAGTGTATAATTTTTAATTACTGCTGGAAAAATCATGCTTGTTTGCTTAGATTTATAAGGGGATGGGTGAATAATGCTTAAAATTGGGCAAATGCATTATTATCTCTACGTACTAGGAACATACCATTTTTGTTTACTTATTAGGCTAAAAGGAAATCAGTATCAATACTTAGACTCTTGCTTACGTGGCAAGGAAACGTTTTACTCAAAAATCCCAGTAATTGAGTAGTAACTGATGTATTTTTCAAGTCCCCAACGTTGACTGAAGTGTAGTGGGTTACATCTACAACACAGACACTCAGCTTACCGACAGGATTTTACAGTGTAATGTATTCTGTGTTGCATTTTAGAAGTCTGTAGGCTGACTCAGATTTCGTAATTTGATGACACCCATCAGCAAGGTGCATATAGAAACCTGGCTGAAACTAGTGTTTTGATCGAGATTTAAGCATGCACCAATTACAGTATGGATGAAAAGCTGTACTGTTAGGCTATTCAGGTTCTAAATCGGTAAAACGTATCCTGATTTCCCAAATTTTTAACTTTACTTCTAGTTTGTGGGGAGTTCATGGTAGCGTGATCAGAAATCATTCTGTTGGCTGTTTCAACGTTGTATAAGTATTTAAATTGCCATCCAAAGCCCCTTTGGTTCATTGACCTAAAAGTAATCTAACAATAAAAATAAATTTTTGATTCCTTTTTAATTTTCAGGGTGGTTTTGCAGGTTTTAGCCTGAAAAGTCACACCTCTGTATTTCCTGTATTATTCCTAAAATTATTTCAGTCATTTTCCAATCTTTCTTTCTTTACTTCATTCCCAGTGTGGGATAGGAAACAAATATATTTCATTTATAATCCAATTACCCAGTGCTCAACTTATTCAACTCTATCAGATCAAATTTTGATCCTGAAGTTTCCAAAAATGTATAAACTTTGAGTTTAAATAAAAATAAACAAAAAAAAACACTTTACGCCAGTAGATCAGTTTTTTATAGTAGGGAATAATAAAACAAAGCTCTATGATCAAAAAGGCTGGTTATTTAGTCTATGAAGGAGGCTCAGTCCTATAACAAAAACACTTTTTGCCATTCATGAACCGTTTCTTTGTTATTAAATGAAAAAAAACAACAAGCGGTTACTGCCAACCATTAGGAATGTCATTACCGTGTGTCACAGGAATACTCTTTGAACTTCATATTGTCTCCGCTTAATCTGCAGGTATCTTTTCAATTTTGTGAGCTTAAGTGATGTTTCTTTGATACATCAACACAGCATTTTAACTACAATACTATTTTAATTTCAGTCAACCTAGTGGACTGGCGAACGAGGCTGGCGACAAATTTGCACATTTCTTTTTGAAAACAACACAATCACATATTTGTGAATTAGGTCTAAAATTCAAAGGTTCATGTTATCATTGGAATGATTTGTGTGGTTTGTTTTACATCCAATTGTTTGTTTCCCAAAGAAGGTCGAAATTGAATGTCAGATAAACATTGCAATATTGAACAGTGCTTTAGGCTTCAAATATACAAGATTAGCTTTATTTTTAGTCCAGAACACTGACCTGTGAAGAAGAGAACCAACTTGCTTTTTATTGTATGTATTTTTGCCCATCTAGTAATTTTTTTGTGTATTACCAGTCCCAGCTTGAGTTTACATTCTGGACTTCTTTGCTGCATTAGAATCATTACGTAAAACATCAGGATTAAATGAGGTCATTCAACAAGAAATACGGCAAACAATAGCTCCAGTGACCAGGCAGAAGTGACATCACGCTCAAACGAACACTCAGGAACAGAAAACAGTAGAAAAAGACTTAAGAATAGGAAAGATATCGTCATACTTCCAGCAGACAGAGGAAGCACCACGGTAGTCTTAGACAAAGTAGACTACATCGAGAAGGCAGAGGATTTACTCATAGAGGAAAATGTAAATCAACTACTTGAAACCAACCCCATCCTAAGGCTTGACAACCAGATCAATAAAAACTTGAACAAACTCCTCAAATCGGAAGAAAAGCAAAGCAAAACGAATGGTGAATGAAATCGAATGAACCTGTCCTTCCTCGGTTCTACGGCAGGCCAAAACTGCACAAACCAGATATTCCTCTACGACCAATTGTCTCACTTCCAGGAACTCCAACGTACTACATTTCAAGAAAACTTTAGATAAGACTAAAACATTCTATCAAATCACCAACAGGATTCTTAGAAAAGATCAAAAGCATTAATATAAAACACAACGAATTAAAGGTATCCCTATATGTCATAGCATTATACACATCCATCGAACCCCGTAGACCAGGGAAACTACGTCCGTGCTGTTCACTGAGAACAGAAGCCTTTTAGAACTCTTAAAACTTAAGTGTTCAAGTCTGATGAAACTCATAGATCTTTGTCCGACGACAAACTTCCAATTTAATGACAAGATATACATGCAAATGAAAGGAACCCCAATGGGATCACCAATATTCGGATTAATTGCAGAAGCAGTGATGCAGAGGCTGGAAGCTATCATTTTACCTGTGATCAAACCAAAATTTGGATTCGCTATATAGAAGATACTTTCGTCATCATTAAAAAAGGTGATATAAAAAACATACAGTTTGATCAACATTTATAATGACATCATATTCACAATCGAGAAGGAGTCGAACAACCAACTACCATTCTTGGTAGTTCTTGTCAGTAGAACAAAAGACGGAAAACTGGAAACCCAAGTGTACAGGAAGCCAACACATGCTGATCAAATCCTCAACTACAATAGCAACAACCCAACAACGCACAAAATTAGTTGTCCACAGACTATTTAAAAGAGTGAGAACACACTGTAGTACACCAACGTCACGGAAAACGAAGAAAATTACTTGATGTCCATCCTAAAGAAGAACGGCTACCCACAAAACTTTATCAAAAGATGCCTATCCAGTGTATCGTCAAGTACAGAAGTCAACAAACGTATCATCCTGCCGTACGTTAAGAATATATCGGAAATCACTACAAAATTACTGAGACCACTTGGAACTGCTGTGGCTCATTAACCAACAAATTCCCTTCAAACTATATCATGCAGGCAAAGGACGCAACATTCAGAGAAGACAAACCGAATATCATTTACAAAATCAACTGTAATAATTGTGGTCAATACTACACTGGACAAAGTTGTCGCCAACTTCGCTTTCGTATGCATGAACACCAATTGACTATTATGCGTCATGCCACATTCCAGTGAACAAGGAAAACTATGGACATGAATTAAATTTTGACGTTATAGAAATTTCGGACAGAGGAAACACGAAGAACCTCAGACAGTTCCTAGAAGCTTGGCATTCAGGTTAGTAAGCAATCAACAGATGTATAGACACAGATACAATCTACCGACCAATGAGAAAAATGATAAACGACCGGAAGGTCAGAGTTCAAGGAGGAGAACAGGCAATTGGAAAATCTATACAGTCAACGACACAACAATCAAAGGAAACAACCAATCACAAACCAGGTCGTCAGGGCAAGCTGATAAATCTTGGTTGTATTGTGTTCTATGAGCTGAAGTCATACTGAAGTTATTGCTGATGATGTCGTCTAGCAAGGCGATGAAGCTTCACGATTAAACAACCCAGTTCAGAGAACACAATATAGCCAAGACCATCCACCTGAGCTACAAATATTCCCCATCATTTCAAGCTGCTAAATCACTCACGGAGAGATATTGACAGTTCACTTCATACTGTAGTTAGTGCTGATGCTGTCGTCTAGAAAGACTATGAAAGCTCTACAATTAGACAACCCAGCTCAGAGAACACAATATAACCAAGATCATCGACCTGAGCTACAAATGTTCTCCACCACTTCAAACGTTCCAATATTTGTACTAACCATTTTCCTCAGCTTATTTTCTCACATCACGTTGTCTATTTTGGTGTCGATCTTTTTACACCTACTTGTTCTTTGTGTACTGCTGTGAAGTGTGCCAGCTTGAACCGATACGCTTGTGTCCAGGGTCATTCGTTGATTTTGTCTGTCTTTCTGTCTATTTCTTGTTGATTTGTTTGGCTACCAATTAATTACCTTTGTTATTTAATTATACTGGAATTGAACAGGTTCAGGTTATCGTGAATGAGTGGTTTATGGTATGAGATGAAATGATGCAAACAGATTTATGGTAATCACTAAAATACCTAATTTCCATTAGGTGGAGTAAAACATACACACAGTCAGCATGTACATTTTCAGATGACACAGTGACTATTTCAGGCCCACTGACTAGAGAATTCTTTTGTGAAAGGGGTTTTCTTGTTTATTTTATAATTACCCATATTGATTACTTGAACTTAATGAAGATAATTTGCATGCAAATGAAAATCATTCGAAGATGTGCATTAAATTTGGGTCATTAGTTTAGCTTATTGTTTTTGGCTTCAGTAGAATTTACCAGTAGATGCAAAACTTGCAATCAAGTAATTTATGATTTGTTCTCTGAATTAGTTAAGAAGATCAGATAAAAATTGTTAGCCAAAATTAATATGCACCATTTACGTAGGCAGATTATCTGAAATATAATGGATATCTCACAACATGAACCAACAGTTCAAATGAATTTCATAGTTTTCTCGATAGATCTGTTATCTAGACGCCCATCTGTCGTGTAGTTGTCCAGTAATTATTATCATCATTACACTATGATAGAGTATATCAACTTCGATGATCGCGAACTTTAATATTCAAGCGACTGGCTGTCTTAATTTTATTTTGCATTGTATGGTTTTGAACAGAAATACTCTCTCTGTTAGATTTATATATTAGATATAGCCTACAGTGATAAAGCATGATTTACTTGGTGACGTGTTGAGCATAAACTATTGCTCACAATCATATCGATGTAATCACACAATTTTTGACATTTGATTTTCATAGTCTTATCACCTCATATTCTTTGTTTTTAAAGGTAGTAAAATTTTACTTATCTCTGACATAGGTGGTACGTCACTCCTATTATGTATTGAGAATTAATTCGATGAAGAAAGATTCAGTAGTCACATTGATTGGTCACTGGAGAGTAACCAACTCAATGTTGTCCAGGCCAAAGTGCTGGTCGGTCAATCTCTCCCAATCTCATTATACTTAACTTATGTACAGTGGTGCTACCCCATCCAGTTGTATGACTGTGTATGAATGTATGAATTGCAATAGCCGACTTTTTTTCTAGATTATTGATCCTATTAGGGTCCTTCATTTCTATATTCTGATAATCTAACTGACCACGATCGGCTAATTTGAACTATCTACTTCACCCCTTACCTGTAACATCGAATCTGGTTAGTTAGATTATCAGTTAATTAGTTCTATGGCGTCCTTAAGCATGTAGAGCTTATCTGAGTTTGCAAGCTTAAAAACAACTTTAATTCCCACTTCGTTGAGAATCCTACGCAGAGTTTCCGACTTTTTTTCTTCAGAGGGTAACTTCATTCTACTCGTGTTATCGCTATTTTACGTATTCGTATCCCTGTTATTATTTCGTTTCTTATGTCTTGGTACGAATTTTCCAATAAACGGTAGGGAATAATTAATAATTATTAACGCTTCTTTTATGTTTCAATTCCTGTTTTAAGCCTTTGCACTGACTATTGGGTTTTGGAGCCCTGTTGTCTGAATAGTTGGCTAAACCCTGCTTAACTAACAGTAGGTGAGATGACTTTTAGTCCAGATACCTGTTAGAATGTGTCAATTTCTTGTAGATGGTAGTATCTAAACCACTGTCTGTTTTCCCTCTTACTCTACAATCCGACATAGCTAATTTTCCTAGCTATGTAGAATGAAAGACTCCATCAGGAGTAATAATCTATAAAAAAAACCTTGTTTATTGCAATGTATATATTAACGCGAAGTCACACAACCGGATGGAGTAGAACCACTGTGCATGTTGCAATGTAGTTAGGTGGATATAGAGACTGATTACTGAATCCTTGTTTATCGAGCTAACGCCTAAAACAAAACGAATGGTGTGACACCTATACTGGTGATCTGCAAGATTTTACTACCACTAAAAGCGAAGAATATGAGGTGAGAAGACTATGAAAACTATATGTCGAAAGCTGTCTGATTACATTGATATGACTACAAGCAACAATTTATGCTCAACATGTCATCAAGTAAACAGTGCTGTATCACTGTGTACTACACCAAATAAACAAATCTGATAGGAAAGTACGTTCTACTACAGTGCTCAAGTTTTACACTTATAGTAAGAAACGCTGTCTACTAACACCATTTAAGAGAAAATTTTAATTCCCGAAAACGGATTTTGAAATTGACAAAATAAACGGATGTGCCACAATTCACGTTATTCAGTAACCCACAAAAATTTGTCTGAGAAGTGTAAGAATCAAATTTCATTACCTAGTTTCAGGGGAATGAAGCAGATGTGATAGGTTTATCCTTTTTGAGTGAATCACGAAATTTTTATCTAGACTCGGTGAATTTTTCTATAGTTTTTAAACACATCCCAATGGACATGAATCGATGATGGGGAGTATGCGATAACCAACCTGCTTTTTTGAAAATGCTCTGCAACAGAACTTCTAAATAGAGTCATACATGTGGTTTACGCTAGTCGCTTGATTTTATCGCCTAGACCTTTTTAATATTGACGTTTAAATGTGTCCAACTGTTTTATATTCAGTGGATTGTCTTCATAATCGTGATTTTATCTGAAATGGTCCATGAAAAGAGACTACACAATAATTGTAGTCTGATGCCAACTGTGTAGCCTTAACACTCCAAATGTTTTATTCCTAACATTTCCAAGAGTTCAAACTACCACCTATTAAATTCTCCATCTTAAAGGGTTTTAAAATGCGCTTATCTCATATGGCCTGGTATTTAGTATGTAGTTCATGATAAAGCCCACACATACTTTTAGGTTTGATCCCAATTTATCAATCTGATTCTACTTAACTACTTCATCTACCAAGTATACTTGAACTATAACCATTTTATTTATGACTTAGGATACTTACCAATTTTTGTTACACTTGTGTTGTGAACATCCTCTCTTTGAGTTATCCATTTTATTTATCACTGAATGACTAAAATCACTGCTACTGATTTTGTTACTCGTTGTGTCAGTAGAACTAAATGTATTGCAATAAAATCTAATAAAGCTCATAATAGAAAGAATGTTTTACAACTGAGCATTTAAATACAGATAATTCTATGGGTTTTATTCGTCCAAAATCATTAAAAGCATTTTCTCATCTGTTATGGATTTTTTCGGGGATTTTATGTTTCATTGGTGTACTGAAGGCTGAATATTTAGATGAAAAATATGAAGTTAACTGTCCTGATGTTGACTTTTCGCAATCTCTCAGCCTACTAGATGTTGTAAACAAAAAGGAGTTATTCAATTTAGTTCATGTTAAAAACTCACTTTGAAATTAGCGGTTTAAAACAATATAATGAAGAAAAATGAAATATGTAGATAAGTTTTAATATAATGTTAGCGTGTTTAGAAAATGAGAAACAAGAGTCTTCTGAACGTTTCACTATTTATATTACAGCTTCTTCAGGACTTCTTCAGAACTTGTTTCAGGACATTCGTAACAACCGTGGCCTGGATGCTTATAAGCAGAATGAGTTATTTGATTTTTTGGATGAAAGTGATGATGGCTTAATGGAAAATGTGCCTGAAAACTTGGATTCTTAAAAGCGTATACATACATTGGAACACGTAACTAAAACTTAAAAGGTGGATTTTGACAAAATACTTGCCAAAAGTCCAAAAAGTAAATGGTTGTTATTGTGACTATCTGAAATAGCCATTGTTTGACAAACTGGCGTTGCTGATACTGAGTGATTATGGAGAATAAAATGAATACCTGGGTCTTGGCAGGATTTGAAATTACAGCCTGTAGCATATCAGCCAGGTTCTCTACCAAACGAAGTGAGGTTAGCACCAAGGGTTCAAATCTCGCAACGACTCAAGTATAAGGTTGCTGAAATTCTTAATTACTCTTCCGTAATACCTACTAGGTTTCTAGACATATTTGATCACGTTTGAGCTACTATTTCTGTGTTTAGGAAGTTAAGTTTTACATATCTGCATATGATTCCAGAAACACTTCTTGCAAATATACATTTCAATTGAAAAACACTCTTTTTTTAGCGATTGATTTTCTTTGTTAATTTTTCTTGTTACTTAAATTCAACTGAATAATATAGTTCAGCAACTGAGGTTTACAAGCTCCAGTTTCGTGTGAAAAAGCCAGAATCTGGTTCACCTGGTCGTGTTGCACCACGAATATTTTGGAGTCTTGTCAGTTTGAATCGTAGAAATTCACCAGATCATGCTGTCAGTGCAAGTCCAGTAGTAACGCGATTGAACATAGAACCCTCGGAATTGAAACACATAACTATGGTATTAAAAGTAAGTCCCTTTTAATATTAGAAGTATAGTATCAAATTATAAATATGGAAATTATGGTCATTATGAGTTTCCTAAAAAGATGCTTTACAGTTAATTTTGATATGTACAATATTAAAAATGTAAACAGTTGGTTTGAAAATTCATCAGTCTGGAAGCTTAGTATCTGGTTCATACATTTCAATAAAAGTATTTATAGAATGAGTACACGTTAGTCGATCGACTAAAATATCTATGTACCCATATGCTTAATTTAGTTTAGTATACCAAGTCGAAATTAAACAATAGAATCGCACAGTACAATAAATCGTATTAAATCAACATCAAAGATTCTCAAAAACAATTTACCATGACATTGATCTAGATACATTAAGACAAGATAATGCACAAATTTTATCATTTCCAACATATAGGACCATCAGCAGCGTAAGTAGTCAGTATGGATCTAATTCTTTCAAAATGCTTAGAGTTGCAGAGAAATAAGGACAGTAATTTAAAGCTTAATAACATGTATCTTTTAAATTTCACGAATGTTTCATCAACTGTTTATAAATTTAGTTCAGAGGTTTGTGGAGATATTTTTATTTCAAGTTAATATTCATCACAGACTGACATCTGTTGGATTCCCATCGAATACCTGGGACTATTAGACAGATACTCCGTTTAAGTATTGGACTTCTCGGTATTGGATATATAAAACCCCATCATAGGTGGATTCCAAGACGTTCAGGTTCCGTGGTGAGCACGCTGCCGTTGAGCCACTAAGTAAGAATCTAATAGTTCACAGTTTTCTATTTTGTCAGTGGGCGATCTAGCGCAACCTCCATCCATTGTCTTCGTTGAGTACCTGTGGTCATGTCCTTATAAATCTCTGTTAAATAGTAAATTTTATTAAAATCTAGTGTTTTAATTAACATTGGGTAGAGCATTCAAATAACAAGATAAACATAGTGCGGTGTAAAGTCGTATAGGGTTACAAGAATGGAAGTGTGATTTTTATAAATAGGCTTAGATGTTATACATACATTTTTCTTTGCCATTTCTCACCACTAAAAAACTAATGTAGTACTATTGAGTTCAAAAGTGGTTTCGATAAGAATTAGGCAAAATATTTGTAATTGAACCTGAAATAAACCCAATAGGAATGCTTTTTTTTATAACAACTACCTAGTGAGACTGCTGTGTGATCAAATTAGCTAAATGATTCGACAAATTTCCAGGGAGACAAAATTCTGACAATTGCTGAATTTCAAACATATAGGTCAGGTTTAAAATATTTAATTTCACTGGCATAATTGATACAAGGCGTTATTTTATTCACTACTGTACTCAAGCACCCATTTTATATTTGCGGATTCTAAAATTAGACTTTTGACAGCATTTACAAAATGTAATGCATACCTTTCTTCTACTTTTCAAATGAAACTTTATTAATGGACATATGCACATACACATAAAGTTTACATTATGGCACCTGTAAATTTTCTGGTGGCACTTATGAATATGGTATTTAAAGTTGAAGGGCTAACCTGGTTGTATGATGTGTTCATACTAGTGCATTATTTCATCATTTGTTAATTATCTCAGTGGTATAGTTGTTTTTGATGACCAAGTGAATAAATACTGTCCTTTACGGTGACCGGAGTTCTCTTTGCTTTTTCTGCTCACTGACATTATAGCCAGTAGTTTTCAGACAAACTATTTTGACTACCAAAAACTAATAAAGGAGAAGTGTATGTTTTATTCCGCTAAATTACTACTGCTAGCATTCACTTGCACCTGATTTGGTTTGACATTGAATCTGCAAAAAAGTGCATCAGTTCAAATTGCTACTTTTCAAAGCAGTAGGTAGAGAAGAAGTGAACGGGAGAAGAATTACATTCAGGTAGACAAAATTGTATAAGAATAGAGAGAGAGAATAAAACAAGGTTAATGTAAATATTCAAAATTGTGAAGATAACAAAGATTGTATATAACTTATATTGTAAGTGGTTTCGATCTAGACCATCAGTAGTTTGGATCTGTGTGTTCTTAATTTCTTGAGGACTCCAGTTGCTTCACTTGGTCGTATCGCTTCCATGGAGAACTGAGAAACATATCTGATAAGTTCATAAGAGCCATCAGAAATTTATATGTTTATATTCATGGGTAATTTCTGAAGTTTAATCAAGTCAACCGATAGATGAAATAATAATGTCACTTAATGTGTTTTATCTTTAATTACTGTATGTGGGACCAAGAGCGAACAAAGTCTCTTCGGAAGTATGCCATCGTCAAACTGTTCGTAAGAGATGTTATTTTAAACAGTTGTGGAATCCCGCTACATATAAATACAGAAACTATCTATTTGGGTAAATGTTAATCCACTGATAAAAAACTGGTTGTAAAAACAACTAGTTTTTGTCCTCATCTTATAATTTGCCACTGCCATGTACTAATTAACTTGCAGAAAACAGTTATTTGTCACCTATGAAGTAAGATATTGTAAAATCATGAATCTTACAGTTAACGTTCAAAAAAAGTGATCTGAAGTGAGTTAATGTGGTATACTTGTAAGAGTACATTGGTAGTGCTCAACATTTCACAATTTTACTCACAATTTCTCAAGATAAAACTTCGTATCCAGAAAAATTAATGTATCATTTTGAATTTATGATCAAGAGCGCTATCTTTTCGGCTATACACTAAAAGGTTTCAATTCAAAAATGTGAAGCTATATTACTCAAGGGAAAAACACCAGTGACAGACAACTGGAAGGTCTTCTGGTCCCCCCATTCACGGAAAATTTAAAAACTGTGATTGTGTTTAGACCTTTCATTTCGAATATATAATTATTTGATTAAAGTAGTCTTAGGAAAACAGCTTTAAATAAATAGCATGATATTATTTTATCAGCACCTGCAACCCACAATAATGCTACCATCAAGATACCCGAAAATGCATACCTACTTAGGCCAGTATGTGGAAAATTTATCCATCTGAAGAAAAGAGAACACTTACATTATGTAATACAAGTTAAGAGTTGAATGATAAGAGATGCAAGAACTAACTACCTAACAAGTTTCCCTGTCTGTAGATGTTATAGAGGAGAAAGAACGGAAGTTGAATGCCAAAATGAGACAGACACATTGTAGATAATTGTTAAATAAGACAAAACGTAGATCTAGAGCTTCTCGTCAGTCGCCTTCGACCTACTGCACTTACCTACTTACTTACTTACTTATCTAATAATTAATTTAAATTGTTTTTGGACGTTTCACTTATGCTCAATTTCACTAAGGTAATGAGCAACTTCACTGCTATAGATGTGCTCACCTCCTATCGTCACTTCTTGTGAACATGATCAGAAATCAATCTCTCTGTTCATCCAGTGTACATGTTTCTATAAGTAAATGTGGTTAGACGAAAGATGAAAGAGGAATCCTCAACAATAACGTGTCTCGGTGAGCAGTTTTTTTTAGTAAAGAGTAAGCAACCTAATAACTGGGAAGGCCACATTTAATGCAGCATTTATCCTTTAATTAACTGCTTCGAAAAATCCGTCACCTTTGAAGCCAAGTTTGAACCCATGGTTCCATTTCCAATTGATTTTTTTTGTATTTGTTGCATTTGTCTTAATTTTTGATAACATTTTGTTGGTACCACTTATCAAGGAGACACTTCTTGACTTTTATCATTTCCTTTTGAAACCTCTCATTGAAATAACGGCATCGTATTTGACTGAAAAGTGTCTTCAACAGTTTTTTCCCATGTTGTCGAATAAAAATATTGGAACTAAGATTTAGAACAGTTAATTAATCTCTACGATGGTTAAATTTGTGAATATTGCCATCTTTATTTTGCTGAATTCAAAGACATTGGAAGTGCCAGCCTTTAATTCTGCTCATCTTCGATCTTATATTCTGTTTAATATGCTTTGTTAGCCAGTGCAAGCGGATAAGAACTGTTAGTTTCTCAAATTATTCATCCTTCCAAAGCAAATACTGACCTGTTCAGTATTTGATACAACGAGGTAAGTGAATGACGTTTGAGCATTCATTCTACCTAAGTAGAAAAGATGAAAATTTGCGTATTTTTATATTCAGGTTCCATTAGTACTCTAGTTACATGCTTGGAAACTGACGTAAATCTAAGTATAACTGTAATTAGCACTCTCACTATGATGTCGACTTAACAAAGGCTCGTGCTTTCAGATGAAATGATGAGTTGAACCACAGTTGCATCTCAAGATCTTTTCTCATATTTTTCTGGGGGCTTTATATTGTTTATTTCTATTCGGTAGTTTTAAATTTCACACTCTTCAGAAATTTCCAATCATATCCTATAATATTCTTCTACTTCATTATGTCAGGAGTGTAATGCCTCGTGCTTTCAGATGAAATGATGAGTTGAACCACAGTTGCATCTCAAGATCTTTTCTCATATTTTTCTGGGGGGCTTTATATTGTTTATTTCTATTCGGTAGTTTTAAATTTCACACTCTTCAGAAATTTCCAATCATATCCTATAATATTCTTCTACTTCATTATGTCAGGAGTGTAATGCCTGTTGTTCGTCAGTTTCTTCTTATCAAAAGCAAACAAATATTAAATATAAACTGCTTTCAAACAGCAATTGTTCACTGTTAAACCAAAGATCCTACTTACTACTTTCAATGATAGGAGTAATAAGAAGATAAAACGTTTTATTTAAGATCAAGAAATAACTTTTCTTTCTTCATTTTTCATTTTCTCATGATTTCCACTTGACTGAAGTGATCAGTTAGCCGATTAAGACATTTACAACACTGAATTTTTTCGGTTCAATTTGTTCCAAACGCTTTTTTCGCAACAGTAATGGTAATAATAATAACAATGAGGAAAACTTAGTTGTAAGGTTGTTTAACATTTGGTGTACCGTGTCGCTGCACACAGTGTATGTATCCGTTCATTATTTATATTGTTCAGGGGTAAGATATATTGAAGTTGAAATATATGGAAAACTGTGAACCTCCTCTCACCTCA